ACGCCCAGCAGGCGTGGCAGGTGAGGCTGGCGAGGCGGAGGCTGAAAGCTATTACCGCAGGATGCAGGCCCGACGCTTCCCAGACTGAGCGTGGGCCAAGAGGTGGGTGGGAAGGGACCTATCCCGGCCGACTTAGGATCAATAAAGAGGCCATTTCTTGACCCCGAAGTCCTGGATCATTTGTGGGGACCCCCGCCAACCACCCCATCACTGGAGCACCACCCCGTCTCTACATGGTGGGGGTGAGCCTCATCCATTTAGGCCCTCTAGCCACAGGACAGGTGGGGGAGGTGGGGACAAGGGGAACCCCCAGGCCTCCAGGTCGAGAAATGGTTAAGTGGGCTGAGCTCACAGAAAGGAAATCAGCAGAAAAGACTGACAGGCCCAATAAAGAGGGAAATCAGAAGCACAGGACATAGAAATTTATTCAAAGTCCAGGTACAGACTGGCTGACTGCCTTCTACAATGTGAACAGCAAGAAAGGTCTACAGAAAAGGCTGGAGTTTGTTATAAAACGGTTTTAATCAGTTCTTCCCGTTACAAGCCATCGGGACGGGCAAATGGAATGTGTGGCCAAGGCTTGCTGTGTGCAACACTGAGCCTGTAACCGCCGTTATCAAAATATACATCTGTCACCATAAAAAACTGCGATGTGCTGCCTCCGTGTCTGACAACAGGTATACAAAAAAAAAAAAAAAAAAAAAACACAAATATTTACACCCTTGTTACACTCCATTATGGACTCAGGATCCAAGGAGACCCCTGCCTGCTGCTGGGCGGCCCAGAGGGTGGTGGAGAGTGCAGTGGGCTGGACGCTGGTCCCACCGCCTGGGCCCCAGCATCAGAGGCAGACAAGCAACAGAAATAAAACTTTGGTCCAAAATTTGAAGAAAAATGAAACACCCTGAAACAGCCTTTGCTGTTTGTCCAGGCAGATTGCAAGTGGAGCTGGTAAGGCAACGGCAGGTGGAGGAAGGTGGGTGGGCACCAGCCCAAGCCCTGCAAGGAGACCTGGCTCCTGGCCTCAGGTTCCTGAGCGCCCGGGGTCCCCAGCTCCGGAGACCGGATCCTGCCTGTGACTTCATTAATTATAAGGAATAAAATAAAAAGTACAGCATACAAAGTAATACGAGAAGCTTGGATTACACTCATACCATTGTATCATCTTGCTATAAAAAGTTACTTAAAACTATTGCATATAAATGAAAAAAGATTAGAATATTTGGTCAACTGGATATTGCTAGGCACAGCATTTGCAGCCACATCAGGTATGATACGGAGATTACAAGGGCTCCGAAGCTGAAGCAGAGGTCAGTGCCCTCTGGGCCTGGCGGGGGCAGGACGGCACCCAGGGGCTGGGAGAATCACTTGATCCATCACTGATTGAGTAGGGAAGGGGGTGGTCAGCCGGCCCTGGCCAACAGGCTCCTGCCCAGCGCTGGGCACATGATCCGGTGGGAGGGAGCAGTAGGCTGCTTGGTGTTTGCCCAGCCAGGACCCACTTTGCCTGGGGGTGGTATGGCCATGAGGCAGGCAGGTTAAGGCACAAGAAAGCCGACTGTGGCCTGGGTACCCTCCCACGGGCCCACCCAGGCTGGGGGTAGGGATGACCCCTGCCACAGCCCCTGGGAGCCTGAGCTGTCACCGTCACCGCAAGGTCAACAAGGTGAACTAGATTTAATTTTTTTAAAAACAGGTAAACTGATTTCTCTTTAAAAAAATAAAATCTCTGGTCTGTTAAGGTCACTTCAGCTGCTTTTTAAAGTGGCTTTTTTCTGGAATGACGGAAGTTGGCGCCAGGGCGCCCGGCCACAGGCCCACCCTAGATAGTGGACTTGGAGAAGGACACCCGCAGGTGGTGGTTCTCGCCCAGGTCATGGTTATGCAGGTCGATGAGGGCCTGCACGGCCTCTTCCACTGAGCCCATCTGGATCAGCGCCATCTTGCGGTCTTTCCTGCAAGATGGAGGGGTCAGAGGGCAGGGCAGGTCGGAGGGTGGGGGAGGGTCACAGGCAGAGAGGGTGGCTCCTAGGTACTCACTGGAAGAACTTGAAGCCCTTCACTACACCCCCGTTGCTGGAGAAGAGGCTCTTGAGATCTTCCTCGGATATTGAGGGCCTACGGAGAGAGACAGGCTTGTGACCTGGCAGGACCACCACTGCAGACCACAGCTCCCAGGACCATGAAGGCATAACGGCTCTTTGGGGCCAAGAAATGTGCAGTGACCTCAAGTGGCCTTGATTTTTTCTTTTTTTTTTGAGACAGGGCCTCACAATGTAGCCCAGGCTGGCTTCACAATCAGTGACACCTCAACCTCCTGAGTGCTGGAATTACAGGTGAGCCACCTTGCCTGGCTCTGAAATGACCTTGAGAAAACTCAAGAGCCTCTGCACCGGACATCCACCGTACTCTTGAAAAGGTACCACAGGCCAGCATGGTGGCACAAACCTGTCATCCTGCACACACAGGTTTGACCCCAACCTGAGCAAGTCAGTAACGTAGTTAAGACCACATCAAATTTTACAAAAAGGCTAGGGGCGGTGAGCACCTGCCTGCACCCAAAACCCTGCCACCAGAGGGGCACCGTGTCAGCTCTGGTGAGCACTCACGGGATGTTGGAGAGGTGCAGTGTGGCGGAGGGCGGAAAGATGTTTTGGAAGTTCTTAGAGCCAGGCTTCTTGAAGCGATGCAGGGGCGAATTGCCATAGTCCTTGGTGAGGCCCTGGTCCTCCTGGCCCTCCCTGGGCAACTGCACATTCTGGTGCTTGGACAGTGTGATGCGGATTGGCTTCCCATGCAGCTTGTGCCCGTTCAGGTGACTCATGGCTGCAGAAGGCGATCAGGTCACCAAGGGCCCGGTAGGCACAGACAGCCCCACCCACCCCACCCCCTTGGCCAGGCCCTTACCCAGCTGAGCCTGGCTCCCATCCGCCATCTGCACCAGTGCGTTCTCCTTCTTGTTGAACAAGATCTTCACCCGCTGCACATCACCGTAAACGCCTTCAAAAGCCCAGCAGGGACAGGGACTGAGTGGTGTGGTCCCTGACTAACTCCCACCCCTGGAACCCCCCAAGGCTCCACTCAGCCTGACCAGGTTTGCTTATTCTGCCGCCGGGCGTCTAGCAGCCCAGGCCATGACTAGAGCCACTAAATCAGCAGTCAAAAGCCCAAGGCAGGGAGACTGTCGAGAGCGACCACGCTCGCATGCTACTGACACGCTGAACTCTCGGAGCAGCATGCAGGGTGGTAAAACCATGCGAATCTACGGCCAGGTGTAAAGTCCGCAAACCGGAAGCAAACCACATAACGAGGCCGAATGCCAAACTCCAAACTCATAGTACATCTCAGGGCGTAAAAATAATCTCAATTAAACGAAAACAAGGTAATAAAAGTGTGAATAACATACCGAAAAGAATAAAGAGGCTTTGGGGTGTGACTCTCTTTAGAGGACAGCAGAGCAAGGCAGCGGAGGGACAGGGGAGAGGGAGAGGTCGGGGGGACGAGGTGCCATCGTCCACCCCGAGGAAGACAGTCCCGCAGGCGTGCAGCGGTTGATGGACGATGAAGTTGTCAGGATGTTAATTTCAAGGGCAGGTTGGTTTCCGGAGAGCAGGGTTTGAGGGGGAATTTTTGTTTTTATTTATTTATGTTTTGTTTGTTTCAAGCAA